GAGAAGAGGGAGGGAGGGACAGAGGAAGAGGAGAAAGAGAAGGAGGAGGAGAGGGAAGGAGGAAGGAAGGACTAGGAGGAGAAAGAGAAAGAGAAGAAGAGGGAAGGAGGAAGGGAAGAGGAGAAAGGAGGAGGAAGGAGGGATGGAAGAAGGGAGGAGGAGGACAAAGAGAAGGAGGAAGAGGTGAAAGAGAAGAGGAAGGGAGGAAAGGAGGAGAGGGAGAGAGGGAGGAGGAAGACAAAGAGAAGAAGAGGGAGGGAGGGAGGAGAAAGAAGAGGAGGAGGAGGAGAGGGAAGGAGGGAGGAAGAGGAGGAAGAGAAAGAGGAAGAGCAAAAGAGGGAAGGAGGGAAGAAGGGAGCAGGAGAAAGAGAAGGAGTAGTAGAAGAGAGAAGGAGGGAGGGAAAAAGAGAAGAGGAGGAAGAGGAAGACTTGGGGTGGTCATTTTTGGTGTTCTCTGAGCTGGGTGCTTTCCTTGCAGACGTCTCATGACCCAACTAGGGAACGGCATCAGGGCTCCTCCACTGAAACCAATTGGCTGGCAACTGGGATCTTTGCTTCCAATTGTATCATTCCTCAGGCCCACCGCAATCAAACCACCACCACGTCCCTCTTCCAACCCCAGGATTTGGAGGTCCTTGGCGTTGCCTGCCAAATGACAAGACTTTTAATCATCCATTCGCCCCAAGAAGTCGGCCGTGCAAAGTTCGGCCTATATAACGCACATACACAAATCCCTCCGGATTATGTAACGGACGGACTAAGCGGATTAGGGCAAAAATCAATCAAACCAGGAGGCCGTGCATCGCGATGGGAAGGCAGCTGGTCGAACTTGGCTCAAATCCTCTTTGTGAGGATGGGTGTGTGTGTCTGGGTGTGTGTTTCTGTGTGTGAGAGAGAGAAAAAGAAAATCAAAATCCAACCTTTGAGGGGAGGGACCTTGGAGGTCTTCTAGTCCAACCCCGTGCTCCAGAAGGAGATCCTTACGGAATGATAGAATAACAAAGCAACAAGTGACCTGGAGGTCATCTAGTCCGAGCCCTGCTCAAACAGGAGACCTTTGCAGAAATAACTGAATTGGAAGGGACCTTGGAGGTCTTCTAGTCCCACCCCCCCCCCCCCCCCCCGTTCGAGCAGGAGACCCTGACGGATTCATAGAGTGACAGAGTTGGAGGGGACTTTGGAGGTCATTCAGTCCAACCCTGCTCAAAGTAGGAGACTTTTACAGAATAACTGAGTTGGGAGGGGCCTTGGAGGTCTTCTAGTTGTAAGTTGAGGACTTCTTGTTTGTGGTCTCCTGCTTGAACAGGGACTAGATGACCTCAAGATATCTTACATTATGCAACGATTCGATAATGGTCTCCTGTTTGAGCGTGGGTTGGACTAGATGACCTCAAAGGTCCCTTCCCCTACTTGAGCAGCAGACCCTGACAGAATCATAGAATAACAGAGCTAGAGGTCATCTCGTCCAACCCCTTTGGACTCCCTCTTTGGTGCTCTCTGAGCTGGGTGGTTTTCTTGCAGACATCTCATGACCTAACTAGGTAACATCATCAGTGCTACATGGGAGATGTATTTGTGGACAGGAGGAAGAGGAGGAGGAAAAGGAGGAAGGGGGAAAGGACGGGGGAATCTTTGGTGCTCTCTGAGTCGCTACCTTGGGTGGTTTTCTTGCAGATGTTTCATGACCCAACTAGGGAACAATATCCGTTCTGGAATGGAATGGAATGGAATGGAAGGGAAGGGAAAGGAAGGGAAGGAAGGAAGGAAGGAAGGAAGGAAGGAAGGAAGGAAGGAAG